ACCAACGAGAACACAAGCTAGTCCATGTTTCCAGATGAAAGGTGAGCCTGGGCCTAGCGCCTCCTTATGGGTGGCGTGAGGGGGGTACCGGGTAGAGGCAGAGGCGGCCCATTTTGTTTTCTGCTCTGTAAAATCAAGGGAAAGAGGCAAGCCGGAGAGGGGCAGTGCATCCAGTGCCCCTCGCCACCACTGATTCTCTGTTGCCTCGGCTTCTCTTCCCAAAACCGAAAAAGCAGCAGGGAGACTTGTTTAACATGGATTCCCTGTTTTTTTTTTTTTTTTCATATCCTCTGAAATGAGTACGACACTCTGGTCTTTACACTCCGCAGGAGCTAATCCCCCACTGCAAGCATTGGGGGGCCTCATTCCTGCTCGCGGATGCAATCTGTCGACACAGGCTTTCCTTCGGGCTCTTCTGGAAAGCCGAGGGTGGATGGAGCCATGCTCTGCTTGGAGCTCCATTACATTCATAACCACGGTTTCTTACAAAGAAAACAACACAGGAATTGCTTCCAGAGCCCAAATGCCTGCGTGAAACGGTGCCTTCTCTTTGAGCAGCCAGGCGGCTCTCAATGGCTTGTCTGGGCACCTGCGTCTGCCCCACTGCCCCTCGGCCTTCGTCCCCGGAGGGGGGCAGTCACTGAGGCCTGAACCCACCACACCGCTCAATAGGAAATGTGTACTTTCATTGTTGAAAGAACCACGGGAAGAAAACGATATTTTAGTAAATGAAAGTGCTTCATAAGTATTATTTGCTAGGTAAAATCCTATTTCCCTTCAAAGTCTTGGGCCATGTCTCAATTTCATTAACCAAGAAAAATTTGGCTGCAGCGTTTAATCCCTTCAAATAATGGCAACAAAATTCTCAATATTCATCGGGGGAGTGGGGGCATTTAGTAATGGCTGTGGGCAAGAGGCCCCGTGGAGGTATTTTGTGAAATAAGTGTCTGGTATCAAGAAGCTTCTTTTTAAGGCACCGAATGTGTTCCGTGGCTTGCTCAGTAGGATAAAAATGGTTTCAGAATTGCTAATCCAGTTGAGATGATTTAAATTACTCAGGGCTGCGGAAGGCTATCTGTTAAATTATCTGCCCGCACCCTTTCACACATATGTGCTTTTAAATCACACCAAGTATTTTCTCTGCACAGAATAAGGAACCCTCATTATAAAGCATTCCCAGCTCTCTCGGTGAATCCATCTTAGAGTTAAGGTCATATATCTCCCCCACACTATCTGATGAAGCTTTCTGCTGGTTTCTGGGGTGGCCAATCACATGACAGATATATGGCTCTTAGACAGGAAATGAAATAAAATTCCTATAATGCCCTTGGGGGGGAGGGGGACTATCAGTGTGGAGCGTTTAAGTCAATGACTTAATTTTCTTGACGCTTCCCTCCACCCTCACTTTGAGCTCAGAACTCAACACTCAAAAGAGGTGCTTCATCTGTCTACTGAATCCACCACACTTGAAGCTGCTATCATCATTTCTTCCAAGAATTTCAGGTGCTAAATGACTGAACATACATCGCCGTGGAGTTAACGTTGTACTCTAAGCAGCAACCTCAAGAGTGCTTTACACGGTCAGACTCCAGGAGACAGAAGGATTAAAAAGCAAAGCATCCGGTGTTTCTAGAAAGTACCCTTCTGATGACACTGAGCCAATGAATCTGAAGACCAGATGGTACGCTCTAAGATCCACATTGTCGGTGGGTGTGAATGGCACACAAGATCCCAAAACCTTCCAGCCCAATCCCAACATCTGTCTCAGCATCATGAGGTACAAGCCATGCTGCCAACATGTGATTCCCGCCTCAGAGATAGCATCAAGGGTACGAAATGCATTCCCTACGAAGTAACTCCATGGATCTCTTTCTCTGCCCTCTCACTTGCATGCCCACGTGCACTATTTCTCACCAAAACAAGTAAATAACTTCAAAACATTTTTTTAAAACTTAGGGGTGCCTGGGTGACCCAGCTGGTTAAGTATCCAACTCTTGATTGCGGCTCAGGTCATGATCTCACGGTTCATGAGTGTAAGCCCCGAGTCAGGCTCTGTGCTGCCAGCGTGGAGCCTGCTTGGGATTCTCTCTCTCTCTCTCTCTCTCTCTGCCCCTCTCCCACGTGCACACATGCATGCTCTCTATCTCGCTCACTCTCTCTCAAAATAAAGAAATAAGCTTTAAAAAGTTCAAATAGAAGTAATTCCACGGTGGTTTCCATTTCTGACTCATAACTCAGTAGCTGGCCATTCCATCCTTCATTCCTCAGACCAAAGCCTTAGAGTTATCCTGGACCCCTTCTCTCTCGCTCAGCATCCAGTGTGTCCGTAAGTACTGTTGGCTTGCCTTTCAAAACGTATCCGGAATCCAACCACTTCTCACCACCTCTACCGTGTCTATACTGGCCCAGACTACCATCCCTTCCCTCCCCTGGATTCCTGCAAGAGCCTGGAACTGGATTCCCTGCTCCACCCTCAGCCCTTACTGTCTGGTCTCCACTCTGAAGCCAGCATAATCCTGTTACAACTGCAGCCAGAACATCTCACTCTTCAGCTCGGAGCTCTGCCACGGCACCCTTCGCCTGGCCCTCGAACAGAGGAAAAGCCAGGCTTCTGACAGGGGCCTCCTGGGCCCCACAGGGTCCCCGCTCCTGCCCCGCCCCACGTCTGAGTTAATGTTTCCTCACCTCGCTCCCTCCACAACACCCGGGCTAACTTCCACGTACTCTTCCAACAGGCCAGAGACAGCCCCATCGTGGGGCCTTAACACTTCTCATCTCACCGCCTGGAACATTCTTCTCCCAAATAACAAACACGTGGCTGATCCCGCCCCTCATCAAATCTCACCCCAAAGGCCACATTCCCAGCAGGGTCTTCCCCTGTCACTCCCCAAAACCCCAACGCCCAACTCCTGGCATGCCTCATCCCTTCCCTGCTTCGGCCACTCTACAAAATGTAGCACCTGGCAAACCATGTATGCACTCATTCATTCCTCTGTCTCTCTCCACTAGAATGTAAGCGCCAGGAGGGCAGGAATTCCCGTCTGCTTTTTTGGCTACTGTATTTGCAGCACCTACAAAGACACAAGCTTGCTAGAGGTGTTCAATAAATATCTGAGCGATGAATGACTACATCCTTGGACTATGTGCCTACGTACTTTAGAACTCTAGGCTTCAATAAGCTTATTATCAGACATTCCTCAACATACACACTACAACATCTTCCGAGTCTGTAGTGGGTTGTGGTAAAGGAGGGAACAGTAGACCTTACAGCATTTCTGAAAGGCTTTGGGATCAAATTCCCTACTTGAAGGTGATGCTACGTCAAGGTTCATGAGACATAGCCACATCAGAAGGCTGGGGGGCTGGATACTGGTGTTTCTCTGTACAGGGACTTTGGTGTAGGTTAGGAGAGCAGGGGCACGGAGCCATTCTGGGAAGACAGAACGTACTGGTCTCCTGTCCATTTCTGCCTCAAACACCAACCGCACGCTCCATGTCCAACAGAGATTTTCTCCTACAAAAACAGACACTCCCTCAAACACCAGTATCACTGCAGAGAAGAAACTTTCCAATGGAAACTTGGGAAGTAAAAGGAATGCACTATAGGTCCAAAGATTCATTTTTTGATTGGAGACTGGTTTGGGGTTAGGGTAAAGTAGAAAGAGAAAGTTGATGGCAATATGCTTCCTGAGGATTCTATTTTTTTTTTTTTTTTTTTGCAAATAAAATAAAGACGTGGAAAAGAAATATCTGACCATCAACATTTTTATCAGGAGTAACATGAACTTGTGTGTGTGTGTGTGTGTGTGTGTGTGTGTGTGAGAGAGAGAGAGAGAGAGAGAGAGAGTAAGTGGAAAAGGAAAAATAACACTTTTTTCCCCCAAACTGCAGTTTCTTCAATACATCTGTTCTCTCTGCTGGTTTTTCTGTTAGAGAATCCCAAATTGTTAGTTCACTGTAATTATCTGTTATCACTTTGGTGCCAAGAAAAAAATGGGGTCAGTGAAGCAGTGTTTCTCACTAAAAGACATTACCTAAGTCTGTTCTAAATCCTGAAATCACCTTATAATACTTCCCAAAGAATTGAGCAAACAAAAGTAAAACTTTGGGTAAAAATCACTTCCAAGGTTGCATTTGCTTAGATGAGATTATTATTATTATTTTAGAGATAATGACTGCCGTGGTAATGAAGATAGAACGTACATAGTTCATTTCAGACTAGGGAAGTTAGGAAGACAAATTCCTCAGTCACGTGTCTATGATTTTTGCTACTGTTTCTCATTCCAGTGACTCCTTGGCATACCCAGTTGACTGGAGGGCTTTTACCCCTAATTAGACAACACTGCTTTCTCATTATTTCATTTTTGCCTCTGATGTGACTCTGGCAACACTCTGGATCCCTGCAGAGCTGGAGTTCTATCTTGTGCGGCTCTGGTAATCCATAATCCCATGTGGTGGGGAGGACAGGGCCAGACACAGAGTAGGTGCTCAATAAATAGCAGCTGCCTCGGGGTCACTTGGGTGGCTCAGTCTGTTAAGCCTCTGAATGCGGCTCAGTTTGTGATTGCCCGGTCTGTGAGTTTGAGCCTTGCATAGGGCTCTGAGCTGTCAGATTCTGTGTCTCCCTCTCTCTCTGCCCCTCCCCTACTCAAGCTTTGTCTCTCTCTCTCTCTCTCTAAATAAGTAAACATTTTTAAATTTTTTTTAAAGAAATACCAGCTGCCTCAATATTGCTACCAGTGACTACTTAAAACTATGACAACGGCTTTGAAATTGTCAACAGGTGAGGAAAGGACTGGCTTGCGTAAGTCAAGATGCCCTGTAAAAAAAAAAAAAGCAAAGGACAGGAGCGGGAGAAGAAAAGGAGGGAACAGACTCGCGCACATTTGCATCACGTTATCAGAGCGAATTGGATTTCAGGAGTCTCAAGCAACACTCAAATTGTTAGCTTTCAAATAGATATTTCGAGATGTGAATTCAGAGCTAAAAGAAATTCTTACAGTTTTCATCCTGGGCAATGCATTGTAAGGGGATCCCAAAGAAAGACGTATAGCTGTCATTGTACCACACCAGAAGCTCGGTACCCCTGGGAATATCTATACAGGCTCGGTAGAATATATTCGACCTATTCAAAACAAAAGAAAACCCAGCTTAGTAATAGGTAGGATTCAGGTGCCCCCGCCCCCCGTCCACATTTTTATCGCCCCGAAAAAGTTCTGCCCAGCTCCATCTAAACGGTTTGTTTGCAATAAAATCTGCACCCACCTTATCATTCCCAACAACCAATTAAAGCCTGTACCCCGTATAATAAACACCTTACAGTTTATTTCCACAATGTCCCTCCACAGAACACTTTGGCTGAGGAGACACATATGGGGCCCAAGAGCTGGCAGAAAGCCAAAGGCTCATTAAAAAAAAAATTCCTTCTCAGATTAACGAGAAAATTCCATCTCTTGGCAAACTGTAGACACTGGTGCCTCACCTTCATCTATCAATTAACATTATTGATTTCCTATTTGAAGGAAAAGCATTACATGTATTCTTGCAACTTGGCATGGCGCGTCCCGGAATCTGTAATAAAATGAAGCGGCTTTGTGAACTAAGGACAGGGGAGAGTAACAATCTTCCCCATCGCCTGTCTTCTCAGGTTTGATACAAGAGAAGAGAAAACCCCTCTTCTGGGGAAACGTATGGATATTCAATAAACACAAGGGGAGCACGTTACTCTGGCTCAAAGAGGACCCTCTGAAATGACAGAGTGAAGGTACCAAGAAATGAACATTTTTCATAAGAGCTTCGGTACTGGAAAGAAACACAGATTTAAAAAAAAAAAAAAATGAGAAGACCGTGACTGGCTTCCTCAATGAAGAATTGCTATAAACATGAGCCTCAAGTTCAAGATAAAAGTGTTTGGGGTTGGTGGGCCTTAAATTTAGCCTTTCTGTAAGGAGCTGGCTGTGGCAGGGCAATCGGTCCCTTGTATAACACTGCAGACACAAGGCGAATCCTTCACCACATTTTTCATGGCAGTGAGATATGCACTTGTCAACATATTTTGTCACCACAAAGTGGCTCTTGGCAATAGGATCATAAAGATCAATAAAAAAAAGTGCAGATTCTCAATATTTTACTTGCAGCTGCAAAAATTTCATTTATCTTGTTATTTTCCTTACTTGCTGCCATTCTGTCTCATGAGGGCACTGCTAACTAAGCAGAATGTTTTTCCCTACATTCTATGACTATCTGACAAAGACTCCAGCCTGTTGCGTGGACCTCGCTACCCTGCCTCCCTCCGCGTCTCCAAGAGCCTGTGCGTTTTATTAATTCTTTCCACCGCTACATAAAAAAATCAAAATTGGAGCCGAGCTATAAATCACCGGCATCTCCTAACTTGAGAAAAATTGAGTCGACTTTGTACTTCACCCTTGTAACATTTCATCTCTCGGTTTGGCTTCCCTTAATATAAACACAGCGCCCGGCAAATGAATGTGCTAAAAACCAAATGACACACTTTGCTGCTGAAAGAACAGAACTGTTTTCGAGCAATGGGTGGTCTTCTGAGGCACAGGGTAAGCCGAAAGGGAGGCGGGGGGGGGGGGGGGGGGAGGGAGTGTAAGCGTACACCGTTCTTACAAGTGGGCAAAGCTTCCAAAACTCGCAGAAATCTCTGCATGTTGAAGCACATCAAAGAGATTTTTCCCTTTTCAGATAATATTTCCTTTGCTGACATGTATTTAGTATTGTGGTTGGATGACTCATAAAGATAGCCTCATGGCGTCCCAACGCAGTTGAAGCAGAGCTCATGCCAACAAACATTATTGTCAGCCTCAAAATAAAAACAAAACGTTCAGCGAAGGGTCAATCAATCAAGGGCGCTTTGAAGAAAATTCCATTTAGATATTACAAATCATAACAGAATGAATCTAAACCAGCTGACTTTTTGTGAAGAGGACGTTCGTGTACAATAAAAATTAATCTGGCTTTCCAGGGTCCAACTTTTCTATTTTCTTACTCTTGGACGTGGCCACTGGTGATGGGGGCCAGTTGTTTAAATGGGGTTTTTGTAGTTCATTTTATAAAGATCCGAAGTAATCGAAAACAGATCAGCAGAGAGCTCTAGAAGGTGAAGCGCCATCATGAAAGGGGAGCTGTAAAATCCACTTACTACTGACAGAGACGTAACTGACTTAACTCTTGCCCACCTTCCTCTTAGGGGTTTCTTGTTTCCCCCAGATTCAGAGTTTGCCTCCCCAGGGGCTCATTACGGAACCGGCAAGGCTATCTTTTGCTGGAGGGACAAACCCAACCTTTACTAATTTTCTAGCTCCGGGTTTCATCAAAACTTCAGGACAGAAAGGCGGCTGCAGTCAAGTGAGCAATGCCCGTACACTGCAGTGTAACCAAATCCCGTCATGCACGGTTTCATTGAAACCATTATTTAATGAAATATAACTGGCCCGGAAACCATAGCAGTGAGTCACGTGCTGCCCAAATATATTCCCTTTGAACTGGAGACCTTCGGAGAGCCAGCCAGATTTGTGCAGCCTTTAACCTATGAGGGGGATAAAGCCTTTTCTTTTTTTTTTTTTAAAGCTTCATGTTTAAAAACTAAAAAAGAAAAAAAGAGGGAGAAAGAAAGAAAATAAATAGCCACGGGCAAGGCGCCAAGTTGCAGAGTACAGGACCTTCTGCTTTGATGTGTCTGTGGTGCCTAATAAAGCTAACCAGTTGCTTCTGATTCTAAAGGGAACATGGCTGTTTATAACTGAGGTCATGTATTTATACGGCACATGTTTTCGAGGGATTTTGAGAAAAGGGCCCCCCCCCCACTCTGTGATCTGTTTTTGTGCTCCCGTCCCCACTCCAGCCTTCTTTAGCACTAAGTGGAAATGCCTGACCAACAGGTGCACCAAGCGATTGTGGCAAGACATCTGGGAATCCACCTTGCTTCTCTGCGCCCCACCCCCACCCCGCCACCACCAGAGGTCTCCCTGTGGGATTCTGGGAAATGAGGGTAGCTCCCCCTTGTCTTCATTACCCTTTGGGCTTTGCCCAAACTTCTCAGGAAAGCGGGGCTTCTCCACACTCTGGAACTGCCTGATCACCCGAAACGGACCTCGAATGGTCCAAGGGCCAAAGCCAAAGGCTCTGGCACCCTTTTGAGGGATCAGGATGGGTTATTCTGGCTCAGCCATGGCCGCTGGGCTGAACGGTTTTGGAAAAGCAGCCTTGAGCAGGCTGAGAGTTTGTTCTCGGTCTCCCACGCCTGAGTGCAAATGACACGGTTTCCAAAGGGAGAAAGTCTGAAGATAGGGGTGCGCATGGGATCCGGGGCTGAATCTCTCAACTCCTATCCATGCCCATGCACACATCGGTTGGGGGGGGGCATCACCCCACATCGGCGGGTTCTCCCAGCTCATTCAGGCACCTGTGGGTGTTCAGGCAATTTCATCACATGCACGGAGTAAAAGAGGCCCTTCCATGAACATCTCTACTCCCAAATTCTCAGGCTAGTACTGTTACAAGAACCAAGGAGATTCCAAAAACCTAGCAAAAAATTTTGTGCCGGTCCTCACGGGGTTCTGGGGGACTCTGCAGGGTATTTGAGAACCAGCGGCAAGCCTGAATTTGTACCCACAAGCCAAAGGGCTTCAGCTCCATTCAAGTGGTAAATCAAGGTACATACGTTACCTGTACTGAACTACTGTTAGATTCTGTTCTCCGCAGTGCCTTGCACATCGGATATACCTCATCCAGCTCGACTTACTAGGTTCCCCACCATCAATAAAGTGCTGTAGTGTTCCATCTTGGTCATATATCTAGAGAAGAGGTCAGAAGGTCAAGTAGTTAGAACGAATCATCAGCAATCATTTTCCCTGCTTCCCTCGGTGTCTGTATACGTCGGCTGCAGAAATTTATTGCCTGGAGGTTTGCTAGGGCTTTACTGATGCGCGCAGAAACTCAACCAGAATAGCAGGACAATATTTTTGGGTGATGCAAGTCGATCCCGCGTTTCTTATCAAGCCCATCTCCCCCTGTATTCGACATATTTCTGGTATCTCGAGGAAGTGAGCGACCATGTTTCCCAAAGGATATTTAACCTATTTTGACAGGCTACTCCTAAGTAATGAGCTGCTGGATAAACAAAACAAGCTGAAAGGAGAGGCCACGCTGACATGGCTGGAATGGCCACACGAGAGGCCCCGGGCTCAAACACGTAGCCGTTTCCAAGGGATTCGAGAGGCAGTAACCGCCTTTTAGGCAAGCCGGGAGACCCCCAGATGAAGGCAGGTGGAGCATTATAGAAATGCACAGAACTGGTGAAAAAAACAAAGCAAAACACAGCAGACTCTGATTCCAGTCAACTAAGTGGACTCTCACTTGCAGAGGATGGGAGACTTCAGCTGTCAGCACCTGAAACCATTAGGACAGCCATCAAAAAAGAAAGACCCTCAAGGAGACAAAGAGGAAAAAAAATAACCATTTCCTAGGGATTCTAAGTGTCTTAACAGAGCTTGGTGTAATAATGACGGCTTGAGGTCATTCTAAGTAACTTTTAAGATCCCATTTAAGGAGGGGCGCCTGGACAGTTTGGTCGATTAAGCGTCCAACTTCGGCTCAGGTCATGATCTCACAGTTTGTGGGTTTGAGCCCCACATCGGGCTCTGTGCTGACAGCTCAGAGCCTGGAGCCTGCTTCGGATTCTGCGTCTCCCTCTCTCTCTGCCCCTCCCTCTCTCTCTGCCCCTCCCCCACTCACACTCTGTGTCTGTCTCAAAAATAAATATAACATCAAAAAAAATTTAAAAAGAAAAAGATCACATTCAAGGAGATGAAATGTGCTTCAAGCCAGGCAAGGAGCATGGGACAAAAAGTCTCAGGCATCACACGAGCCATCCCAGCACAGGCAGAGTCCAAGCCGACTGTAGAGGTCATCGGTTCCCACTTCCAGAAACCAGGTGAGTCCCGGACGGCTAGGAGGAGGGGCTGTCTCGAGGAGGGGGAGATCAGGGGCTTACATGGGTACAGCAATTCCAGAAAGGAATCCCAGCCTGAGGGGGCTTCTGAGAAACAAGGGGTACAGTTCTCGGAGAGAATCATGATGCGACCGGTCCTTTTCAAATAAAATGGTGATGGGATCCTGGTTAACTGCTGACGTGTTGCCCAGAGCATCCTGGGAAGTCATGCCTCTTACCGTCTCATTAGCCTTTTCCCTGGCTCCCTTCCAAACACACACGGAGAACAAGTCTTACAGGGAGCCTCACTGGTTACTTTAGACCCTAAAATTAGGACAGTCATTCATATTAATTTAGCTCAGCATTTCTGTGCTGGGGGCCAAAGGGCTCACTGATGACAGTTTCTTTTATTATGTCCAGTCATTTAAAAACAGTTTTGTTTTTGTTTTTTTGCTTTTCTTCAACTCATTTGTCTCCACCCCCAACCTCTCCACTAACCCTCCATCCCCTCCAAAGGCAAGACAAACATCAATCTAATGAAGGCAACTGCTGGAGGAGCTCTGGGTCGCATGCCAGTGTGATGACAGCTGATCATCAATGTCGCCAGAGAGGAACAAGGAGCTTCCTGGATTATATTATAGTTAAGATTAATGATGTCTTTCGATTCCTCATATGAGGATGCCAGCAAAAGAACGGGATCATTTCCCTGAACAACCTAAAGACGGACTTTGCATTTCGGTTAGATCCCGCTATGGTTACTGGGTGCTGGTGGCGGTGCTTCTGCTTTCCTTTTTAGGAAGCTGGTTCCGAGACTCGAAGTCTCAACCGTGAGTCTGCTGATGACAGCCCACAGGACAATGAACAAAGCCACCAGCTCCTCAGACACCAATGTTTATCTAAAATGGAGCCATAAATGTTGACAACCCGGCCCCTCTGCCCTATCCGTTCCCCCATGAACAAACTTTCCTTGGGAGCCGCGGGTGAAAACAGTGACGAAGCACTTAGAGAAGGACTACTCTCCTGGGTGCTTCTAGCCAATGTCATCAGCGGCACGACAAACTTTCTAGCATCTCCATGCAGTAGCCACTACCTTGAACGCTGGCACATCTGAACACCAGGCACAAGCCAGTCCCTCTTGAAAACGGGTATAAGAAGTTTCTCCTTACACTCTTGTTTCAGCAAAAATCCTCACCCCCCTCCCCCCACTAAGTATAGTGTGACTACAGGAATCTTATCGTTTTTGCCTGCTGGTTAGGACTGCTACTTACCTTGAGGAAAAGTAGCAGCTATTTGGTAGGCTTTTTCCAAACATCCCACAATGTAGCCCACGACATGAGGCTGTCCCTCCCTGGCTTCCGCTAATACTGACTTTACGCTAATTCCCACAGAACTGTGATGAAAATAACAGGTACCTCGTTAGATCCCAGAGGCGCACAACCAGAGTTGAGGAAACTCATTCGACCTTGATGTTGTCCTCTCCCTCAGCCCCCAGACAGCACCCAGGGCAGCTGAACTGGCCTCCTGCATGCTTTCCGAGCACATCCATCTCTCCCTCTCCACCGTCACGACCGTCAGCCCGAGTCAGCTTCCTCACACACCTGCAGTACTGCATGACGGTCCTCACTGACGCCCCTGCGGCTTCCCCGGGGCCCCTCTGACCCCGTCCCCACCCTATAGCCAGACTCCTCGTTCAGAACATAAATCCAATTACATCTGTTTCACCTAAGTCCACCCAAGATAAATGTCACATCATAACAACATATATTCACAGCATGTGGCATTTCCTCAAGGGGGCTCATCACAGTAAGACCAGCGCCTCCCAGCAAAGTTTTTAGAGGGGCCAAAAACGTATGCCTGTGTCCTTGGCGCAAGGTCATTCTGGACCCTTTCTGGTCTGTAATGGGAAGTGTGAAAGTTTCTTTTCTTTTCTTTTCTTTTTTTGTAAGGTTTTAAAAAATGTATTGATTTTGAGGGGGGAAGGGGCAAGGAGAGACAGAGTCCCCAAGCAGGCTCCACGCTGTCAGTGCAGAGCCCAACACGGGGCTCGAACATGCGAACTGTGAGATCATGACCTGAGCCGAAGTTGGATGCTTAACCGACTGAGCCACCCAGGTGCCCCTCCTCCCCAACAGTTAACATTTAACCTCAGTGTTTCTGGAAAGAGAAACAATGGGCCAGAAGGCACTGATGCAGATTTCTGTTCCTTTCTCTAGTAGAAGGGGAATCAAACTGGGAAAGCGAAGATACCCAAATGCGAGCACGGAGCAGAAACTAAGGATGAGTCCTCAGAAAGGCCCCGGCTACTCCCTTGGGCCCCATCATCACCGTCCATCATCAGTCCAACTTTGTTTCCATTTAAGAACTTCGGAGGTTTGTTTGTTTTTTTAAGGAAGGAGTATGTATACAATTTTGCACGTAACCCAACTATACAAGGACACTGAGCCTGTATCCATCTACTATTCCAGGCAGGGGCTGACGGTCTTCTTCCAAGACACAAGGAATTAGAAGTGAAGAAACGTTTCAGCAAGTTGCAAGCTAGAGCAACAATTCCAAGTTCAGAAAGGTGTCCTTGGAGATGGTGGTAACATCTATGTTTTTGGGACAGTAAAATGAAAATTTAGATACCTGGAGGTCTAAAGAAAAAAAAAAAACCTTAAGGAATTTAAGGAGATGAATTAATGCTGATGCCAACGTTTGTTTTGTTTTCATTTCCATTCAAAAGAAACTGTGCACAGTGTTTGGACAATCCTCTCAGGATCTATGGAATGTCAACAAGGTCAGAAATTCTATTCATTCTGATGTGGTTTATCTATACCATGGAATACTACATGGCAATGAGAAGCAATGAAATCTGGCCATGTGTAGCAACATGGATGGACCTTGAGGGTGTTATGCTGAGCGAAATAAGTCAGGCAGAGAAGGACAAATATCATGTGTTTGCACGTATAGGAGGATTAGGAGGAACTTAATGAAGGACAATGGGGGAGAAGAAGGGGGGAAATGGCGGGGGAAAGGGAGACAGGCAAACCATGAGAGACTCTTGAATGCTGACAAAAACTTAGGACTGATGGATGTGGGGGCGGGAGGGGGGATGGGCATAGAGAGGGGCACTTTTGGGGATGAGCACTGGGTGTTATATGGAAACCAACTTGACAATAAACTATTTGTGAAAAAAAAAAAAAAAAGAAATTCTATTCATTCCAACAGTGAGAATGAAGGCAAGAGAGTGAAAATTATATTAAGGGAAAAACTCATCCTGGCAAAGTTTTTGGTTATTTTTTTTTTTTTAACACTTATGCATTTTGGAGAGACAGACAGACAAAGCATGAGTGGGGGATGAGCAGTTAGAGAGAGAGACACAGAATCCAAAGCAGGCTCTAGGCTCCAAGCTGTCAGCAAAGAGCCTGACGTGGGGCTCGAACTGACGAACAGTGAGATCATGACCTGAGCCAAAGTCGGACGCTTCACCGACTGAGCCACCCAGGTGCCCCAATAAAGCATAGTTTTGCTTTAATCTGTGCACATTATTCTGAATGAGCATAAATAACCAAAGTTTTAATGTTTGCTCTGTTCTTTCTAAGGAAGCCAAACCAATGACCCTGTAGAAGTGGAGGAAATACAGGTGAAAAGACACACAGGATTCCTGGTGGGAATAAAGTGAAATTTTGAAACAGAAAACTCTCTGAACTATAGAAAGTGCTCAGAGTTTTAGAAAGCTAGCTCCAGTTTGGCTGAAAGGGAGCGTAAGACCGCATAGTCATGTTGGAAAACACTCTGGCAATATCGAAATAAAGCTGATGATGCGTAAATCCTATGACTCAGCAATATCACTTCTAGGAAATTACTCCACTGAAACCCCCAATA